CATGAATAGCAACAGCTTAGTAAAATGGTTTTCGATTGATTGTTAAGAATTTCAATAGTTAAAATTTCTTTGTCCCCGTCAGAAATACTTAAATTATTCCTAACATAATGTGCAATACTTTTCTTTACATAAATAAGAACTCCACCACCGCGTTTATTGACAAGTCTTTCTTAAGAAATTAGCTCAAAGTGAGGAAGATTAAAATTTGAGGTAGTATTTAAATCATTTTCAGTTATCCAACTTTTAGTTAAACAAATTATACTTTAAAAAATTATTGGTTTCTTGTCACAAATTGAGAAGATTTTCGAAATTGCAATTTAGGCTTCTGATATTTATATGAAAATTTCTTAGTTGATCAAAATTATTGTTTTTTGTATTTTTATAAGAAAACTCTTCTAATTTGTTAGGCTAATAATATGAACAATCTGTAATAACGTCATTGAAATAATTAATATCTGGATCTAAGTTTTCATTAGATAAGAAGTGTCTCATTTTTGAAAAACTAAAAGTAAACGATTTAAAGTTGTTTGTTTTAGACATTTTGATTAAGTTATAAATTAGAAGAACTTTCTTAACACTATATGTTTAAAAAAAAATAAATTATCTTTTATGATCTCTACAAAAAAATAAATCAAACCTGAGAATATATATACATATATATATATATATATATATATATATATATATATATATATATATATATATATATATATATATATATATATATATATATATATATATATATATATATATATATATATATATATATATATATATATATAGGGTAGAACGGCGCAAGTTGGGCGAATTTTACTAAATCTAACAGATCTCTTGAACCGCGCATCGGATTAACATAATTTTTTATTATAAGAAAGATAACTTGATCTGCTAAAAAATGGTCAAGACAAAAAAAACGTTTTTCGATTTGTTTTAGAAAATATAGTCTAAAGTTAATTAGGCTGCTCAACCTACCCTAGCGGGGTAAGTTGAGCAATTGCATGGGGTAAGTTTAGCAATAAAATAATAAATGCATTTCTGAGACAACTTTTAACTCTGTTATAAAACCAAAACATAGCTTCCTTCTAAATTAAATATATATGTTCAATTTTAACAAATTATTTAAGATATGAATATCAAAACTAATTTTAATTTTTTTAATTTGTCATTAAAAAAAAAGAATACCATGCCGTGTTATATAAATAAATTCTACATGACTGGGACTAAAAGAAGACAATATATGCCTTATCACTACATCCCGACGTGCTTTCATCAGCAATCGTGTATAACCATTAAAATGTAAACATAAAACATAAAATTACTTTGTACCATTTAAAAATTATAAACAAATATATACAAATATGTTAAGATCAGTTACTAATCTATAATCGAAAGAAAATCGTAAAAAAAAAAAAAAAATGCAATCACAACTAAAAACTGAAAATAAGTTAAAAGGATAATTTAAAGAAAACTTAAGTTGGTTAGACTATTTCATAAAATAGTTGTTAAAAAAGAAGATAAAGGAATCTTAAAAAGAATTTAATTCATTAACATCATTAAAAAGTTTTTGTTTGAGTTTTTGTTTAAATAGAGAAAGTGAAGAACAATTTTTCAGCTGGTTATTTAATAAAGTGTTCCATAATTTATTTCCTCTGATGGCAATAGAAAACTTAGTAGCCAAATAGTGTATTTTAGGTGGCTCGTAATTGTAATTTGAAAATCTTGTAGGGTACACGTAACTAATTTTATTTAAAAATGTATTAAAAATTATAGGAGTTAATTTATTATGTAGTTTGTACATAAATATAAGAATTTGATAAAGGCTTAAATGAAAAACATTGAGTATGTGATGATTTTTGAATAGTTCTTTAAAATGTGCGAATCGACCTGCATTTGAAATAATCCTGACAGCGTTTTTTTTGTCTACTTAGCAATTTTTTAACTTTACTTACATTAGAGCTGCACCATGCAATATTTGCATGGTTTATATAACAATGTATGAGGGAGAAATATAAGATTTTTAAGCAATTTTGGTTTAAGATTTGCTTAGCTTTGTATAGTATGCCATTATTTTTCGAAGTTTTATTTTCAATTGTTTTTATGAGTTCTCTCCATGTCATGTTTTTGTCAAGTATCACTCCTAAAAACTTTAATGATGACTCTCTTATTATTTTAGAGTTGCCAATATAAAGATCAGGAAGTTTTAATGGAATATTTTCTTTATCGTGAAGCCTATGAAAAAAAGTATACTTAGTTTTATTTAAATTTAAGGACAATTTGTTTGCCTTAAACTATTCCGCTAGATTTAAAAATTCCTTGTTTGCTATTTTAAATAAAAGGTTAATATCTCCATTAGAATAAAACAAATTCGTATCATCTGCAAATAAAACTGAGTTTAAAACGTTTGAAAACTTATGGAAATCGTTTACATAAATAAGAAATAAAAGTGGACCCAGAATTGAGCCTTGCGGAACACCACAAGTAACAGTAAAGTATTCAGTTTTTCCTTATTCGTGTGCTATGTAGCTAATAATTTTAATACTAAAATAAAAACAAAAACAAAAATTTTTAATCTTAAAACTAAACACAAGTTTTTTTAAATATTTTAAATTAAAACTTGTTAATATTATTATAAAACAATAACTAAACACTTTATATTAGTCTTTAATTTCCATTTTGCAGTTAATACAAATATAATTTTGACCAAAATGTGAAACGCATTTTGAATGAGACCATTGTTTGCAACCTTGACACTGGATCCAATTTTCTTCAGGTAGACTTTCAGAATAAGTTTCCCAACATACAAGATAAGCATAATCATGTTCTCCACTTTTCTTTAGTTTTTTTGTTATCTTAGTTTTTTTGTTTGTGTTAACAAAAAAAAGTTCTGCCAGTCAATCCTTTGCAGATCATGGTTATAAGGAGACTCTGCTGCTTAGTATATTAAAAAAAGTTAAAACACGATTATATATATATATATATATATATATATATATATATATATATATATATATATATATATATATATATATATATATATATATATATATATATATATATATATATATATATATATATATATATATATATATAAATCATTTAACAAAATTTTTTTAAATTTACACTGTGTTTCATTAACAAAGACTCATCAGAAATGAATGATCAAATTAATAAAACTTCAATTTACTCCAAAAAATTAAATTACAGGAAGTCGCAAATGTTTTAACTAGTGTAAATTTTCACACATTTGTGGAATTTCTTGACACTTTTATAAAAAGAATTTTTTACACATGATTATCTATGTTTTTTTATAAATATATTTTTAAAAAAGGGGGGATTTAATGTAACTATTATTTGAGCTTGCGTATTCTATAGTTTTTTAGGAGAAACTTATTTTCGTGCCAGCATTTAGCAAAAGGTTTTTTCCCAAAATCAAAAAGATTTACCGGTTTTTGTACTAAAATAAACAAAAACAAATAAATTTAAGTTGTTGAAAAGTTTTTGGAAATCATTTTTTTTTAAATTCCTTTAATACTATGGATCTTGTTTTATATGGAGTGCTCTGGGCCATCGTTTGAAATTTGGATAAAATTTTTTTGATGCTTAAAAAAAATAGGTTTATAACCCGAAGAAGAAGATAAAATTATATTGATAGAATCTTACACAAAATTAGTATATTATTATGTCTTATTACTTGGAGAGCTAATAAAATTGTAGTATTAAGATTGCCGAATTTCTAGAGAACTATTAAAATCAAATAAAAAGTTCTTGAATATCAATTGTTTTCAAAACTTTAACAGTATATTTTTTCATTGGATGGCCTTCATTAGGCTAAAAGATCTGCATTGTTCCATAAGACAATGCTTTTTTACTTGAGGTGAAATGCAATGCAATATGATCTGCTGCAGTGCTATCGTTAAAAAGAAGCTGCTTAAGATTCGAAAAGTAGTCGCACTAAATTAAAATGTCTTCTCCAAAAATAAAGAGACACTACACACAAAGAGATGTCGTTTCTCTCTTTTTCCTGCAACAGAGAACCGGCATGCATTACATAATCTTTGAGGTATACTAGCATCAAGAAGATTACTAAGGGTTTGTTAGATATGTACAATTGCTTATGTCAGAAATGTTGCAAGGAGCCTAGAGCTTTTTTTTATGCAGAGCATACACATATTTGTTTTGTTATTTTCATAAAATCTTGGCATTTTGGAATTTTGAAAATTGTTTATTACCAAGCAAAACATAAATAAAAACCAAACATTCCCGCCGTTGCCCGGAAAAAATAATTTAAATTATAAAAAAATTCAATAACCAATCCGGTTTAGAATATTGATACCAAGAAATTAAATATTTTAATTAACTAATTAAATGTTTTATCATTAAAGTAGGCAACCATTGAATCATTAAAAAATGTATGTTTTAGCATAAGATTTTTTTTGGCGTAACATCTCAAAAAGAGTTTTTGGCGTTAGAACATTAAACTGTATCTTTTCAATGTATTTATAACATTTACAAACATTCATTTTATCTCTTGCGTACTGTAAAAATGCAAAACTTTGAAAACCTGTTTTTCTAACATGTGCAAAAGAGGGAAAAATTAAACATAATTTATATTTTTGGCGTAGTAGTCTGACTTGACTCACATATATAGAATATAGTGATATTGTACTTTCACCTAACTCTGGTAGATTTTTCTGGACAGTCTTTGAGAAAGGTGTCAAGTTTATATAATTGTGCACATCTTTATTGCACTTTAAAACATCAAAATAGTTGAAACGTTGCGGTTTCCTGTCAAGTTAACTTTCCGTTCAACTTGCATTTTATTTGTAAATTTAACAGCTTTATGTTTTTGACTCTAAATCATCCAAAAGGTTTGTTTTGGTAAATATGTAAATACCCAATCAGACACACTCACATACACACACACGCATATACATATATAGACAATTTGAATTTTTTGAGTACTGAGTTTTAATGAGTAACTGAAACTTTTATTTTATTAGGAACTGAAACATGGAAAAATGAAGTGCTCCAATTTTGTAATGCAAATATTTCGCACAATATAATATTTTTAAAACTTAAGGATTATCCTATTACTGCAATTAATAATGACATTTTAAAAGCAGATAAAAAAAGTCAAATAAATTGCGAAAATCCTTGGTATAAGGAACTTTTAAGAAAATATGTTATGAACAACACAGAGTGTATACCAGGTTTTGCAGCTACAATATCTAAAGGCTATACAAGTCAAGTATACAGTGCTGTCTATGCTTTTGCGCACGGTTTGCATAACTACCTAAACTGCTCATCTGAAAAATGCGTTACAGTTTCTGGCTCATTGGATTATGAGCTACTTTATAACTACATTATCAATGCTCAATTTAATGTTCCCAATAGTAACTATTCAGTAAAGTTTGATAAAAATGGAGAATTTTTGTTTCCTGCGTACCAGTACATGTTTGTTGATCAAAAAGGATTAATTAAGTTTGGATCCTGGGAGTATAATCCAACCAATGTATTTATAAATGAAAGCACCATCGTTTGGAAAAACAACATAAGACCAAAATCTGTTTGCAGCTCTATTTGCAATCCAGGTACATATAAAGTCAACTCTACGTTATCAAAATGTTGCTGGATTTGTGTAAAATGTCCACATGGCTCAATTTCAAGCTCCGTGAACCAATACTCATGTACAAAGTGCTCACTTACGTCATTGGAAAATTCAGATCAGACAAAATGCAATAATATGTTGGAAATCAGCCTAAACATTTTTAGCACTTCTGGTATAGTAATTATTATTGGATCATCATTAGGTGCAACTTGCACAGGTTTTGTATTGATTTTGATTTTTAAATATCCAAACAATCCAATTATTAGAAGTTCTAATAGAGAAATGTCTTGTATCCAGTTATTTTCTCTACAACTCTTGTTTTGCACTTCATTTATATATTTTTTGAAACCCACTCCAAGTTTTTGTGTTTTAAGAACATCATTATTCGGCATTTTGCTCGCTACTGTTTTATCTGTTGTTACAATAAAAACATACCGATTGCTTCGGATTTTTAACTCGAGGTTTAAAAAAGCTTCACAATTTTTGGATAACAAATTTCAAATCACTTTGATATTCTCAGTTGTTTCATTGCAAGGAGTAGTGATTGTAATTTGGCATATTTATAATCCAACTAGCGTCCAAATTGTTCCGAACTCTTTAAAAAATATGTTTTATTATGTCTGTGATAATGAAAAAACTGTTGCTTGGATTTCATTGACGTATTTTTTGGCGTTGGCTATTACAAGTGGATGCATGGCCTTCATGGCGCGCAAATTACCCGATAATTATAAAGAAACTCATAGTATTGTATATGCAATGTTTACTGTTTGCGTTTTATGGATTTCATATTTTCCGATATACGTTAGTCTTGATCCACATAAATCTACAGTGGCATTTTTATCGATTAACATACTTTCGTGCTATTCTTTGCTCTTTATTTTGTATGGAAATAAAACAAGACGCATTTTGCGAAATCCTAAATTAAAAAGTTCAAACTTTTTCTATAGCAGTTCTGTAGATAAAGTCTTGCACACTTATGTTGAGAAAGTTGTTCAAAAAGATGGCTCTACTATAGACGTTGAACGTAGCGTTGTTATGTACAAAAAAACAGCTCAATCAGAGACCATTTTCTAAAGCTAAAACATTTTAATGCATAGATTTACTGTGTGCTCTAAGAAAAACGTTTGTATAATAAACTATTAGATATATGAACCATAGTAAAACATTCTTTTCCAATATGTTTAATAGATTAAATATTTTATTATAATAAGTAAAATCTATTTAAAAAAAAATTACTTTCAATGTTAAGTAAAAAACTTTTAACGACATTTCTAGAAATTGTTTGTATTACTTTAGTTTATTTCGCTGTTTATAAAATTATGTGTTTTGAGCTCGCATATAAATATGTATAAATCCTTGACATTGAATCAGTCATCAAAGTTATGCAGCTCTAAAGTAGTCTGTTTTGATCATATATATATATATATATATATATATATATATATATATATATATATATATATATATATATATATATATATATATATATATATATATATATATATATATATATATATATATATATATATATATATATATATATATATATATATATATATATATATTGATAAATGTTGAAATAATTTATATATATATATATATATATATATATATATATATATATATATATATATATATATATATATATATATATATATATATATATATATATATATATATATAAATATATATATAAACTAGTAGAAAAATACTTTACAAAATTTATTTTATTTTACACTGTGTTTTATCAAAAAAGACTCATCAGAAATGAATGGTCAAATTAATAAAACTTCAATTTTATTTAACCTCTCTGAAAATCAATATAAGTCTTTCAAAAAACCAAACGATGAACTATTGTATGTTAATATTAACTCAGATCATCCACCAAAAATTCTAAATAAAATCTCGATTTCATTTAATAACAGGTTCAACCAAAACTCCTCTAATAAAAATGTATTTAATTCCTCTAAACGAATATTTGAAGATGCTCTTAAAAAAAGTGGTTTTGAAATTTTGAACTAAAATTTGACCCTGAAAATAAGAATACAAAAAAACGGAGTAATACTTGAAATGTAGTTTGGTTCAACGCCCCATATAGCAAATATATTTCCACTAACATAGGAAAAGTGTTTTTAAAATTTGTCGATAAGCATTTCCCTCCCTCTAATAAATTACATAAAATTTGTATTCGAAATACAATTAAAGTTAGATACAGTTGCACAAAAAATATGGAAAGAATTATAATGTTACAATAACGCCTTGTTAAATAAAAAGGAATTCCTAAATAAAAAAACAACAAAAAATAAAAAACAATTGTCCAAGTTGTTTATCAAAAGATGTGGTATATAAATGTATTGTGTCCCTTAAGAATGTACTCAATAAACAATTTATTGGCATAACAGAGGGTGAATGGAAAAAACATTTTGCCAATCATAAACAATCTTTTTAAAGAAAAGGTATTTAAAAGACAATATGCTGTCAAAATATATATGGGTATAAAAAGATAAAAATATTGATGATTTTATACTGAATTGGTCCATCCTTAAAACAACACCTGCATCCCAGCAAACACAATCAACGTTTAAAAACCGTTGAAATATATGGTTAAATAATGGTTGATTTTGGGTTGAAATGTAAATACAAATCAACTTTGAAAAAAAACGTTAGATCAACGTTGAAAAACCAACGTTAGATTAACATTAATTCAACAAGCTTATACATGAGTTTAAAAACCTTAAAAATACAACTTTTTGCGCCGTGACTCTTTTAATCCGAAAAAAAAAAAAAAATTTGTACAATATTGTGTTGTTATGAGTAAGAAAAGAAACAATAATTTTTCATACACTTATAATAGCTGTCATAGTGCAATATCTTATGCTAATATACTGCACATCTTGTTCTCAATTTTTACAGCTTTCATTTATCATTATTAGTAGTATTATTAATTTTTTTTATATAATAATACTAACTGCTCTTATATATAACAAATAGTCTGCCCTGTACTATTTTTTTAACACAGGTAACAAAAATATAGAAATTAAAAAGTCATTATTGAAAGCTAATAAAACGAAAAAAATAATTTATACATTTTTAGAACAAAAACTTACAAAATTAAATTATTTTCAAAACGAAATAAATATTTCAAAGAAATATGATATACATACCACTAACACCTTGTAAATATTTAAAACCCATTTTCTTTAAATATTTAAAATCCATCTAGACTAGTCTATACAAATGGGATTTGATACTCAACGGATATATAGAAATATTAAAAAAAAGAAAGAAAGTTAGGGAATAATTTATTAAAAAGAAGAAAGTTAAAAAAAAAGCTGTTTGTAAACAGCTTTTTTCTTAACTTTATTCTTTTTAATAAATTTTTTACTATTTTGAAGTCTCCGTTAAGAAATCTTAGCTCTATTTTGAGCATGTTATTAGCAACTTTCAAGAATTTTTTCTTTTTTTATAAGAGCTAACTTTTTTATAGATACTATAAATAAGAAAATAAGAAATAGTTGATAGAATTAAAGTAAATAAATTATTATATTATTATTAATATTAATAAATAAAATAATACGAAAAAGAAATAAGAAATATGTTAAACAATTTATCATCTTTGCAACATAATGATTTAGATTATATTATAGGTAAAAAAAACTATTAGCAGAAAGTTGTCATGAATGGTAATATATTGACAAATCCCAGACCTTTATCTATGATGGCAGAGTAATAAAAGTTAATTAAAAAAATTATAATTTACATTTGTTGCTACTTTCATAATGTTTATATAATGACATACATTATATAACATTATATAACCAGAATGCTAACTAAATTTAAACTTCATCTGGCTCCTCTCTCTGGATGAGATTCATATGCACATGAAAAAACAAAGTAATATATTTAAAAATGACTTTATTGAATACTATAGCTTCTCTATTATTAAAGCCAACATCAACTAGTCTATGTTTTGCTTTTTTAACTAAAGCTTTAAATTTATATGAATTTGCAGTATACACAAGTTTTGCATTTTTATATAAAATATGCAAAATTTGTGTATACTATATATTTATATAAACTTTTGTAAAATTATACAAATTTTCATAAAAAATTTGATTTTTAATGTTTTTACTTTTATTACATTAATACTTTTACTAAAAGTTTTTAAAGAACTTTCCCACGCACAAATCTATGTGAAATAATAAATTTTATTTTAATTCCGAATTAGAACATTTGCGTCGGCGAACTCTAGGTTAGTTTCACGTTAAAAAAAAAAAAAAGTTGAAATTTTTACTGATTTTCAACTAAAAACAAACTTTGAATTAACGTTAAAAAATAAACGTTGAAATAACGTTGAAATTACTTTGAAATTAAGATACGAGAGTTTTCTGACGCAAATGTACTAATAATTTCAAATAAAATTTAATATTTCACATAGATTTTGTGCGTGGGAAAGTTTTTTAAAAACTTTTAATAAAATAATTAATGTAATAAAAGTGAAAATATTAAAAGATATTTTTGCTATGAAAATATGTATAATTTTACGAAAATTTATATGAATTAGCAGTATACGCAAATTTTGCATATTTTACATAAAAATGCAAAACTTGCGTATACTGCAAATTCAAATAAATTTTTATATAAATTTTGATTGAATTTTTATATGAAGATAAATTAAAATTTTTTAATTAAAATAATACTTTGACTGTATATTTTGCATATATATATATATATATATATATATATATATATATATATATATATATATATATATATATATATATATATATATATATATATATATATATATATATATATATATATATATATATATATATATATATATATATATATATATATATACTCTAATGAATAGTGCGCATAGTAACGCATATTGTTTTATAGTTACGGTACGGTTCTGTATCTGTAAAATAGACTTTTTAAGTAGTTTCTAGACTTTTCTTTACCGCGTGCTTTCTTAAAGATTTCCTTTCAACCTTTCATGGTACGAGTTCAAAATGTCCAAGTTGACATTAAGTAGATAATGTTTAGTAGCTTAAAATTATAGGTAATCTAAAATCTTTTTTAAATTTTATAAGTAATTAATTTATTGTAATTTTTTTTAAATTGTACTTTTAAATTTAAAGCTTCGTGTTATAGATTACTTTAATTCTTAGATTGTGTCTAGCGTTAAAATATATTTATAAGTAGTTTCATGCTTTCACACAGTTTTGGTTATTGGGATAAAAGCCACGACAACAATTTGTTATAAATTTATCTTAATTTAATTATTATTGAAAATTTTGTTATAAATAAAATTTATCTTTAGTATTGATAATACTTTTGCTCTTTGAAAAAAAATATGTTTCTGGCTTTTCAATAAATATATATTAATTTGTCTTGCATGAATGAATTTTGGTTTAGGATTTAATTGTGTTATTTTATGTTTGTCTTTCTGTATTTAATATAGCATTTATCATTTGCATACACTTTTATTTAAGTTTAATTGTTTATAATTTATTTAGGTTATTAGCAAACTCATGTTTCCAGTGTTGTTATTATTCATAATCGAGTTGTTAAACCAAGGAAATTGTGGAGGTTTATTTATCATATATACTATATATAATATATAATAATATTGGAGGGAGTAAGTTTAAAAGCATTTATAAATTTTTAAAAAGAAATAAAAATACTTTTCAATATATATCTGTTTTCTTTGAGGTAGAATTAAAGTTTCAGTTTTTCAAAATTGAAATTTAAAGTTTCAAGTTTTCAAAATCGGAATCTTTTCAAAATGTCTAACTTGACATTGAGTATATATAAAATCTTTTTAAAATTTTATAAGTAATTAGTTTATTGTAATCTTTTTTAAATTGTACTTTTAACTTTAAAGCTTCGTGTTATACATGTTAATATTGAAAATATAGATTACTATAATTCTTAGATGGTGTCTACAATTAAAAGATATTTATGGGTAGTTTCATGCTTTCAAATGCTTTTAACATATGGGATAAAAGTTATGACAACATTTTGTTATAAATAAAATTTATCTATAGTATTGTTAACACTTTGGATCTTGAAAAAAGAATATGTTTTTTTTCTTTTCAAAAAATTCAATAACTTACCTTGCATGATTGAAATTTGGTATAGGATATAATTGTGTTATTATATGTTTGTTTTTCTATTTATATCTAATTTATAAAGATTTAATTTATAGTTAAGATAAATATAGTTTATTTAATTTATAATTAAGATATATAATAAAATATCTAGTTCATAAAGA